GAAGGGGAGAGCAGCAGAGCACCCGCTGTGCTGCGCTGCCGACTGACGCCCCACAGCGGTTGGTCGCGCTGTCTCTCTCGCACCCCCGCGGGACACCGCGTGTGTGCGAGAGAGCCGGAGCGACGAAAGCCATGTTTCGCCCCGCAGCGCTGTGTTTGCGTTGTGGCGCTGTCAGATTAGGGTGCCGCTCGCCGAGGTGGCTGCAGTGCGGTCGCTCTGTCTCTGTTGCACTCATAGGGCTCCCCATTGGGGTGCGGGAGAGACAGAGCGACGAACCGCTCTGGTGGATCGCTCGGCTGTAGCGCCCAAGGGGTCTGTGGCCCACATTCGGGGAGCGGGGCAGTGCAGGTCGCGCCCTGTTGTTCTGGACCTTGGCTGTCGCACGCCGTCTGGCCGCGGCCGCGTGTCCGAGACCTTGGCCCTGGCCGTCGTGGCCGCGGCCGCGTGTCCGAGACCCTGGCCGTCGTGGCCGCGGCCGCGTGTCCGAGACCCTGGCCGTCGTGGCCGCGGCCGCGTGTCCGAGACCCTGGCCGTCGTGGCCGCTTGTCCGAGACCCTGGCCGTCGTGGCCGCGGCCGCGTGTCCGAGACCCTGGCCGTCGTGGCCGCGGCCGCGTGTCCGAGACCCTGGCCGTCGTGGCCGCGGCCGCGTGTCCGAGACCCTGGCCGTCGTGGCCGCTTGTCCGAGACCCTGGCCGTCGTGGCCGCGGCCGCGTGTCCGAGACCCTGGCCGTCGTGGCCGCGGCCGCGTGTCCGAGACCCTGGCCGTCGTGGCCGCGGCCGCGTGTCCGAGACCCTGGCCGTCGTGGCCGCTTGTCCGAGACCCTGGCCGTCGTGGCCGCGGCCGCGTGTCCGAGACCCTGGCCGTCGTGGCCGCGGCCGCGTGTCCGAGACCCTGGCCGTCGTGGCCGCGGCCGCGTGTCCGAGACCCTGGCCGTCGTGGCCGCTTGTCCGAGACCCTGGCCGTCGTGGCCGCGGCCGCGTGTCCGAGACCCTGGCCGTCGTGGCCGCGGCCGCTTGTCCGAGACCCTGGCCGTCGTGGCCGCTTGTCCGAGACCCTGGCCGTCGTGGCCGCGGCCGCGTGTCCGAGACCCTGGCCGTCGTGGCCGCGGCCGCTTGTCCGAAACCCTGGCCGTCGTGGCCGCGGCCGCGTGCCCGAGACCCTGGCCGTGACCGAGGCCGAGACAGAGCGAGCCATGACGTTTTGTCCGAGACCCTGGCCCTGGCGGCTTAACGTCGTGGACCTGTGCCGGCCGCAGCTTCCGCGCCGTGCCCACTTTCCCCGTTTCTACCTACGACCTATGGCGGCGTTCGTTTCCGGAGAACTGCATCGGCAGCGAGCAGCAGGGAGCAGCAGACTGACTCCGAGAGTCGCTTTCGTCGCTCTGTCATCCTCGCACCCATAGCAAGTCCCGTGTAGTTGTGGGAGGGACAGAGCGACGAAAACGACTCTCGGTGTTAGTCTGCAGGTCGGCGTCGACGACACGTCACGCACTGCAGACTGATTTCGAACAGCGCTGTGCTCTCATCGTTCTGTCTCTCTCGCAATCATGGGGCCCTCCCGCCGAGAGAGAGAGAGAGAGAGAGAGAGAGAGAGAGAGAGAGAGAGAGAGAGAGAGAGAGAGAGAGAGAGAGAGAGAGAGAGAGAATGGACGTGTGGCTGGCATGCCACCGGCATTCCTGGGCATTCCAGTGCCTGGAGGGAAGCCCGCGGCAGGCGCCTGCCTGCTGCGCCCGTGGCGCTGTGGGGCCACTGTGGGGCCGCGGGGCCCCCGCACTGCAGGCAGTGACTCACCGGAAGCCCCCGCCCCCTTTCCCACTCCAGCTGTCCGCGACGCCGCGGTCCTTCCATCTCATTTCCTGCCACAGTCACACCTATGCTGCCCCCACCTCGCGCCCCGGAGGCCCCCCCCCCTCCATGCAGGCAACAGTTTTACAGTGCGGGGCCCTTGGCCGTGGCGCCCCCCTCTTCGGGCGTACGCACTCCAGGGGCCTAGCGACCCAAGGCGGCGGGGCCCAAGGCGGCAAGAAATGTCATTCATTTCCGCTCTTTTGCCTGTGTCGCCGACACTGCAAGCTGATTTCCGAGTAGATGTCGCGCTATCGCGGCGCTCCGTGTCGCTCTCGCCCGCTCGTGGGAGGGATTTGGAAGGCCTGTCGCGAGGTTGCGAGAGAGACGGAGCGAACCACTGCACAGTGGGCCAGAAGACCGGCGCAGGCGCGTTTTGAGCTCCTGAGTCGCTAAATGGGACTCGAACCGATCGTGTGACCCCACCAAGGGATTGCTCTCCGAACGAGGAATCCATTGGTAGGGTCACACGTTCCGTTCGAGTCCTGTTTAAACAGCGCTAAATAACGAACGTGGAGCTCGAAACGCGTTTAGAGTTTTGGCTGGCCGCCGGCGCCGCGCCGGCCTTCTGGCCCACTGTACGCGTGCACTGTTCGGAGCCCTCGACGTCGTCGTCGTCGGCCTTCCCCCTGCCAGTGGCGGATCCAGAGGCAGTTGCTCCCCGCGAGATTTGGCGACCGAATTTCCCTCAGGGCGGCTTGCGGTTGCCCAACGCGCAATTGGTTCTGGCGTCATGCCGTCGTCCGTCGCGCTGCTTTGCTCGGCGTTGCCGGCGTTGCCCAACGCGCTCCCTGATGAGGCCGAGGAGGCCGACGTACGGCAGGATGGATGGATGGATGGATGGATGGATGGATGGATGGGCGGCCGAGGCGGTCCATCCCATATCGAGCCACAGACCGGCCTAGCCTCGCAGCCGAGCCTCGCCTAGCCTCGCGGGGGGCGCGGCGGGGCGTTGGGCGAAATTAGCCGTGGAAAGTGCATAGGGGAAGAGGGACGCATAGTCGCCCAGGTCGCTTTTAGGATTTACGAGCCAAGCGTCGACGTCGAGAGCCCCGCGCACCGAGCCCTGCAGACCGATTCCGAGAGTCATCCTCGTCGCTCTGCCTCTCTCGCACTCGTGAGGCGTCCCGTATAGGTGCGAGGGAGACAGCGAAGAGAACGACTCTCGGAATCAGTCTACTGAGGCCCCCTCGGGCTGTTTTCCTGTCCTGACCCTGGTTGCCCCCTTCCTGCGTGTCGGTCGGGCAACCTTTAGAAACAAGGAGTAAAAAAAGTAAAAATGAAGAAAAAGGGAGACCGAGTCACTATGGCGGGGGAGAGATAGAGAGATAAAGAGAGAGGGGACGTGTCGGGAATCTCGTTTGAAAGCGCGGCGCAAGTGCGGGCAAGGCGGTGTAAGTGTGTAGGAAGTGGGGGGGGGGGGGGGGGGGTCGCGGCCGTGTCGTCGCAGCATGGGGGTGGCGTGGCGTGGCGGCGCGGGGCGTTAGTCATAGTCAGACGCACGCACAGCGCTAGCCACGTGAGAAATAACAGGAAAAGTAGCGATATACATCGGCAACTTTGGCCCGTCCCGTACATTAAGAAACGTACGAATTTCGCCTATTTTTGACCCTGACGGGAATTAAACCTGAGTCTGGGGTTAAAATAAATGTCGTTTTCGTCATCAGCACCCTCGAAAACATCAAAAACAATGCAAAAACTCGAATAAAAAGAATGTTCAAAAAATACTCCGCTGGGATTTGAACCCGGGTCCGAAGTTCTCCGATTCGCTCGAAACTGGCACCATTGGTTTTCTCTCGTCGCCCCGATTCCAAAAATACCCCTACATGCCCTCCTAGCTGCATCCGTTGCCGAGATCCTCCTCGACCCCATGTAGACCATGATGCACCTGCAGCAGCGCCCCCGGGGCTCGGATCGGATTTGCTGCCACCGGGCGGTTCTTAGGGTCACCCAAGGAGGCTGCATACCAAATTTGGTCAAGATCGGACCACGGGAAGTCCTCGGACGGACGGACGAACGAACGGACGCACAGCAGGGATCATACTATATGCCCGTCCCTCCGTCATTTTTTTACAAAAAATAAACGGGACGGGCCAAAAAATGCAAGTTAGAAACTGTCTGCGTTCTGGTCGTAGTATTTGGGAGGTGTTTGTTGTCACCCGATCGTCGGGCAGCAGGCCAGCGACCCACTTTGCATGACCGGGTGGTTGGCCAGTTGGCCGTGGCCGGGAGATAAGGGTGCCACCCGGCCCAGCAGCGCCCAGCAGGCGGACTGACTGGCCGGCCACCGGTGGGATGAGTATAGAGTTGCCACCAGCTTGCGGCGCGACGCGAGGTTTTGGAGAAGTAGCGTGTCGCCGGGCTGGCCGTCCTTGGCCCCGCGGTCCCCGGGTCCACGAGGTGCGCGACGGCGGCGCCTCCTGGACGTCCTGGCCGTGATCCTGGACCACCCACGGCCTGCCACGGCCCGAGTGTCCTGCAGAGCCGCCACATTCCGCGGCCTGCCGATGCCGAAGCGTTTCGTCGCTCTGTCTCTCTCGCACTCCCACGGCACGCCCCACGAGTGCGAGAGAGACAGAGAGAGATCCTCGGAATGAGGTGGCTGGACCTGCAGGCCCGGCCGACCGACGGGACGGTACGGGTGCCGTGTGTTTTAGGCGTTTTTATTGACGTCCGGTTAACGAGCGGCCCGCCTGCAGGCTGACATCGCCCTGCCCCTTTCGCACTCACGCGGAGGCCCGTTCGGGTGCGAGAGAGACAGAGCGATGGAGCACTCTTCGAAAGCGGCGGCCCGACATTCTAGAGTGGCTCCTCGCGAGGCCCGCAGGCTGTTCACTCGCCGCGGTATCGCTCTGTCTCTCTCGCACTGATGGGGTGGCCCGTACGGTCCGTAGGGGTGCGAGAGGGACAGAGCGACGAATTACTTTGAGGAATCGGTCCACACTATAAAGGGCCATAGGGCGGCTCGCCGCTCTCCCAGTGGCTAGGGCATTGGCACAGCAAACTGTCACGGGCCGACGTGTTTATGACTCTCGGACGGCCGACCGGCTGGCCGGCTGGCTGGCTTCCGACCGGCTTCTGTGTTCCGATTTTTTCTCTCTTTTCGGCGCTGCCGTTTTGAACTAACTTAGTTTTTTGTCGCTTGTGGCGCAGGTCCTGGCTGCTGGAATTCCTGGAACAAGATGGCCTGGGAGTGCTGCTGGACAGCCTGGAGCGGCTGGGCGCGGTGGGCCGCCGCGGCGGCAGCAAGAGCTCCCTGGCGGACCTCTCCAGCCAGGTGGACTGCGTGGCCTGCACCCGCGCCGTCATCAACAGCGGTGTCGGCCTGGAGTACATCGTGGGGCACCCCGCGCACACCAGGCAACTGGCCACCAGTGAGTTGACCGCAGTTTGCACTCCGTGCACAGTGCGTCAACGTACGCCCTACCGCGCGTTTTGAACTGCAGAGTCGAACCGGACGTGTCACCCCACCAATGGCTTCCTCGTTCGGAGAGCAATCTATTGGTGGGGTCACACGTTCGGTTCGAGTCCAGTGTAGCGACTCCGTTGCTCGAAATCCGTCAGGGATCCACCGATTTTCGGGCCCATAGTGGAGGGAGCGATCGGGAGCGATTCAGTCCTTTCGTCGCTGTCTCTCTCCCACTCATGGGGCCGTATGGCTGCGAGAGAGGCAGCGACAAACCGAGCCTCTGAATCGTTCGGCTGTTTGGCCCTGTTCGATTCGGCACTGTACTAACTGAACCCTCTCTCCTCCCCGCAGTCCTGAGCTCCCAGAACACGACGGTGAAGCTGCAGGTGTTCGAGCTGCTGTGCGCCATCTGCATGTTCTCGGCCAGCGGCCACGCCCTCGCCTTAGACGCGCTGCAGCACTTTAAGGTGAGTCCTCGTGTCTCTAATGGTCGATATGGGTGGGGGGCAGGACCAACCCCTTGGCAGTGGGCCAGAAGACCGACACCGACGCCGGCGGCCAAAACTCTAGACGCGTTTTGAGCTCCAGACACCAAATGGGACTTGAAGCGAACGTGTGACCCTACCCAATGGATTCCTCGTTCGGAGAGCAATCCATTGGTGGGGTCACACGTTCAAGTCCCATTTAGCAACTCTGGAGCTCAAAATGCGTTCAGAGTTTTGCCCGCCGGCGCCGGTCTTCTGGCCCACTGTCCCGCGCCACGCCACTGGCGTACTGGTCAGCAGAGATGAACCTGTGCCTTTGTCCGCATGCTCCGCACGCTCTGCAGCGCCTGCACGGGTACCGCTACCGCTTCGACGCCGTGGTCATGGAGCTCCGCGCCGCGGACTCGCCCGTCTACCAGGCCACGCTCCTCGCCTTCGTCAACTGCCTCGTCCTGGCCAACGAGGACCTGGCGAGCAGAGTCCGCATGCGGAACGAGCTAATCGGTGCGTGCGGTCGAAGAAAAATGGAAAAGTGACCCGCAGCCGGTGCACAGTGGGCCAAAAGACCGGTGGAGGCGGCCGAAACTCAAGAAGCGTTTTGAGCTCCAGTCCAGAGACGCTAAATGGGACTCGAACCGAGCGTGTGACCCCACCAATGGATTCCTCGTTCGGAGAGCAATCCATTGGTGGGGTCACGTACGTTCGGTTCGAGCCCCTTTCAGCGACTCTGGAGCTCAAAACGCGTCTAGAGTTTTGGCCGCCTCCACCGGTCTCCTGGCCCACTGTGCGGTGAGCGTCGAACCCGCGGACGGCCGTCTGACGACGCCAATGTCTTGCCGCAGGTCTCGGCCTGGAGAAGCTGCTGCTGCCGCTGCGGCGGAGCGACTCGACAGCCCTGCAGGTCCAGGTCGGCGTCTTCGACCGGGCGGCCCACGCCGACCAGGACGCCCTGGAGGAGGCGGGCGCAGCCGGCGACCCCCTCAACATGACCCACCACCAGCTGTTCGACGCGCTCTTCGCCAAGGTGGCGGACTCGCCCCAGGCGCTCTCGCTGCACACCGTGCTGCTCAACCTGACCCAGTTGGACCCGTCCAACCCGCAATCGTGAGTTACTTGTCCGCGGTAGACTGATTCGCAGAGTCGTTTTCGTCGCTCTGTCTCTGTCGCACGCATGGGGCGTCCTGTGTAGGTGCAGAGACGAAGCGACGAAGACGACTCTCGAAATCAGTCTGCAGAATTGACTCTCATTACAAACGCCCCCTCTCCTCGGTCCATCTTTAGTGTGACTTCACCTTCCCATGTATTCGAGATAAGACCGGACTCTGCCCTAGACTGTAAGGTACGCCGCTTGAGGTTCTTCTCCGCCGAGAGAAAGTTCTCCTCTAGTAAGGGCAACCCTGTCTCGTTTTGCAGTGCAGGCGGACATGTGTCGTGTCGGGCCCGAAATGGCGTACGATCATGTTTGGTCTTGCCTCTAATGGTAATGTAGGCAGTCGTACTTTGCCCCTCTATGCTGGCAACCTTTGCGACCTCCCACTCTGAACCCTGCGCCTTGAACCCGTCTCTGGACCCACCCCGCCCATGATTTTCGTCGCCAAGCCTGAAGCCGAGGGGAGAACAACTACCCACATTCATTGTTCAAAATTTGGACACATTCTCAAGGAAAAACCGCCCGTAAGTAGGCAACACGTGTGACAAACACAGCAGAATCTTGCACATTCCAACACATTCCCACATTCATTGTACACTAAATCTTACAGTGGGTCCCCCTCGCCTGAAGCAGTTTCTATGACGAACAACAAGTCCGCATTGTTGGCACCCCGCAATGTAGCTTCCCCCTCCTCGACACGCCACACTGCTAAATTGTTTCCCGTGTAACCACTCCGCATGCGTGCTCCGACTGCTCCGCTCGACCTTCGGTGATGAAACCCCCGGGGAAGGAATTCGCAGTGTCTTTCAGGGCCTGTCGGGAAAGCGGAACCCCCTGGTACACTAGCATTTTCTGATGTTTTGCGCTTTGTTCTGATCGCAGAGACCGTATATGGGAGGCGTTGGAGGACCTGACGGCGCACGTGGCCAATGGGAGCGTGCCGTCGTCGAGCGCGTCGAGCCGCCACCTCCGGGACCTCCGGGACCTCCGGACGTGCGAGACCAGGTCCGTGGCGACGCAGACCACGGTGCGCAGCCGCGCCAGCGACCGACTCAGCGACCGCCTCAGCGGCGCCAGTCTGACCGGTGACCGCAAGTCCGTCGACAGCGACGCCGTCAAGAACATGGTGTCGGCCGAGGACCGCGTCGACGTCGGCACGGACCCGATGACCCCCGCGTCGTCGGCGCCCAGGATAGAGAAGCAGGCGCCTGTCGGGGCGGCGTCGTCCGCCTCCACCCCCACCGCGCCACCGCCTCCACCACCCCCCTTACCCGGAGCAGCCGCACCCCCACCACCCCCGTCGCCACCTTTCCCCGGATCACCTGCACCTCCGCCACCACCTTTCCCCGGATCACCCGCACCCCCGCCACCACCCTTCCCCGGATCACCCGCACCCCCACCCTTCCCTGGGGCCCCCGCCCCACCGCCCCCACCCCCCGTCCCGGTGCGCCCGCCCCGCCCCCTTCCCCGGAGCGCCTGCCCCGCCCCCTCCTCCCGGCCTGCCCGGCATGGTGCCCGTGGAGGAGCCCCTGTGCGTGGCCAAGACCCACTACTTGACCTACCCCGGCCGCCGGTCCGTGGACCTGACCGACGGACAGTGGAACCCGACTGGCGCCAACAAATACAACACTTTCCCGCACCCGCGGAGGAAGCTGCGGACGCTCAACTGGACGAAACTGCCCAATCAAGTTATCGGTAAGTGAGGAGTCTTGCTTGCGGCTTTAGCAGACTGATTCCGACAGTCGTTTTCGTCGCTCTGCCCCTCTCGCACTCATGGGGCGCTCCCTGCTGGAGCGACAGAGACGGGGCGACTTAAGCGACTCTCGGAATCAGCAGGCGCCTGCTGTGCTTTGTGTCAAGAGGAATGGTTTTTTTATAGAGGTGGTCTTGTGCCGGTTTTAGGGAACGAGAGTGTGTGGACTACAATGCACAATGTGGAGCCCAAAGTGAACATGGACTTTCACCAGATCGAGGAGCTGTTTTGCCAACGGTCTGCTGCACCTGCTGAGCCTAAAGCTGGAAAGAAGAATGCAGTCGTGGCCAATGCCGCTCCTGCCCAGCCAGCCACTGTCAACCTACTTGACTCCAAACGTAGTCTCGCAGTCAACATTTTCTTGAAGCAATTTAAGACCAGTGGACCACAGGAGGTATTGAATGCTGTCAAAAGTGGTGATGCATCCAAGCTTGGTTCAGAGAGGCTTCAATGTATAGAAAGGCTGCAAGGGTTGCAGCGACTTCTTCCCGATAAAACTGAAGTACGTTAATTTTGAATGTTGTCAAGTAGGGATACTGAAAGTCACGAATAAACCTTCCTAATGTTGATTTCCCTTCCTTTACAGTTGGAATTGATTAGGAGTCATCCTAAAGAAGGTGGTCCTCTAGGATCCGCTGAACAATTTTTCCTGGATTTAGCAAATATATCTTCCTACTCGACCCGTATTGAAGCCATGATGCAGGTGAGGCTCTCGTAATCAGGTCGTCCTATGTTTGTCAAATTTAAATATTTTGTCTGGTTGAACTAATATAACTTTATGTTTTTTCTATAGAAAGAGCAACTACCTGTCTTCGTCCAGGAATTCAAACCTCAACTTAAAACTGTTGTGGATACATGCGATCAAGTCATCAACAATGCCTCTTTAAAAGAATTTTTAGCTCTTATTTTGCACTTTGGAAACTATTTGAATGCTGGAAGCTATGCTGGCAATGCAGCAGGATTTAAGTTGAATACACTTCCCAAGTTATTGGATATGAGAGCAAATAAGCCTCGTGTCACTTGTCTTCATTATGTTGTGGATGTTTCAGAAGCTCAAAACAAAGATATTTTGACATTCACCACAGAAATGAAACAGATGCGTTCTGCAGCTAGGTAGGGCTTAAGAAGTCAGAATATTCTGCCGCCATTCAGAACATTTTGGTCAAGAAACATATTACTAACATCCTCTTTAATTGCAGAATATCTCTGGAAACCTTAGAGGAAGAGGTTCAACAGCAGGATAAAAAAATTCAGAAATTAAGTGTGATCCTCAAAGCTGCTGACAAAGAAGTGCAGAAACAATTTTCTGGTGAGTGGAAAAGAAAACTATTGAAGAATTTCTGTACTTAGAAACAGAACAGACACAAGAACGGTTTCCTTAACTTACCTTTAATATTTTCAAACTAATGAATACATTTATTTCAAATTTGCAGAGTTTGTCACAGAAGCCATTGAAAGTGTTAAGGACCTACAGAAGTGTGTGTCTGATGCCAAGAGTGCAGCTAAGAGACTAGCGATACACTTTTGTGAGGATGTGAATAGTAATAGCTCTTCAGCCTCAAGGTTCCAGCTGCAGGAGTGTTTTAAGCTATTTGCTGACTTCTTCGATAAAGTTGATCAAGTGCGAGAGGTAAGTAAAAATTTTGAAACACCAATGACAATATTCTAATTGGTGTTTAACTAATATCAACTTCCATGTCTTTAGGAAAATAAACTGCGTAAAAAGCAGGAGGAGAGTGCAGCAGCTCGGAAGAAAGCTGAGGAAGAGAGAAAAGCAATGAAATCAAACTCAGTAAATCCGACGTCCAAAGGAGCATCAGGTAAAGGGCGCAAGGGTCGAGGGCACACTGTTTTTGAGGCTGATGAACCATGTCTTGTAGACCTTCTCATGCAAGAAATCAAAGGAGGCACATTTAAACTGCGGAGAACTGCTGTCTCTGCTGGCCAAGCGTAGATGTAGTGTGATCCTGAAGAAGACATTCCTTCAGGGTTTGTTCATACCCCTGTATCAATTTACTCTATATTGCAACTGGAATTGTAGCATAAGTTGCTCAATGATCATTAGGTGCTAATAATTATCAAATGGCTGTGTTATTAGATTTATGTTAAAGTAAGTCTGAATTTAATAAGGATTTAAATCTTCTTTATAATGATCTCTATAATAACCACATGTCTAATTAAATATAAAGTGTGAAGAATGAAGTCTATCACATCGCAAAATTGTTAGCAGATCTATTCTGCTATACCTAAATATTATTTTATCATACGTTAAGTATAATAATAATAATGGTCCTATTATAATGTATTAATAGTAATCCCTGTAATGGTAGGTATTGTACAAATTGTGTAAAATTTAGGACAAAGCCCTCAAGGTCGGCTTTATTTGCTTTTGCTCTTGGAGTATATTCCTGTATTAATGCTTTGTTTCAGATTAGAGAACTTGACTACTTTTACATTGTTGTGCTACAGTGTAAAATTTTAAATGCCAAAGTATAGAATTGAGTCACTAAATCCTTTCCTAAGGTGCCATTTATAAGTCAATTAGGGTCACAGTAAGCCATGGTACATACGTAGTACTGCCTTTACTGATGGATAGCCTCTTGTCTAAGGGAATTTGTACAGTTTTGGTTTGATGTATGTCTTATTTGTAATCAACTATGTTGTTTTATAAAAATTTGTTACTATTTCTTCTTTGGGTTGAAAGATTGTTGTCAAGTAGGTTGCCTGTCTCCCGGGCGTGTCTGTGAAGCTTTGCAGTCCCTGGTGGGTAGGACACCCATTTGACAGTCCTGTCAAGCACAAAGTTGCCCCAATCTTCATGGAAAGTTAAATCTAAGTGTCTGATGTAGTTGTTCTTGGGTTTTGTTTTGAAGCAAGCATCCGATTAAATATTTTTTTAAAAAGAAAATTCTTATGAGTTATGTCCACTGTTATTGTACCTTTCCCAAAATTTGGGACTCTAATGAGAGGAGAAAAGAAAATCAACTCAATTTTCAATGTTAACTTGTGTATTGTTAATTCATTTTAATGATGACGTTGCATGATATGGGACAGTACCTTGTTACTCAGAAACAAAAACTACAACTGAAGTGTGCACTTTTGCAAGAAGCTTGTCTATATCAAGAATAAACATTGTGGCTTGCCATAGGGCTTAATATCACAACCCTTATGAAAAAAAATATTGAATACATAAGCGGACACAAAGGTCACAGCATGCTATGCGCCTGCACACAGTTGCTATTTCCCTTCATAAAGTTAACACAGGAAATAGATGCCATCTCTCCTATTTGTATAGGATACTTTCAGTCTGGAAATTCAAGGAAGAAAATTCCATTGAATTATCACCGACAGAAATGAAATTATGGGTACAACCCATTGACATCCAGATTATAGGAAAACTCACACAGCCATTACCTCAAAGAGTTTGCTCATCACAATTTTCACTTTTGTACAGCAAGACAAATCCTTTACTTACAATATTCTTAAACTTGCTAACTACCTAGTTATTAATGCTACAATGTCTCTCTTAGTTCAATATTCTAACTTGTTAATAAGTTTGTTAGACAAAAGAAATATATAAATGCTAAAAAGTGTGTTGAAGTTCCTCTGTGTATAACTAGCAGTTTGACAGGATGAAAAAGTTTGATAGACATATGAGTAGTAAGGAGTAGCAAGGACAACAATGTTGGATATGGAATACAGCTGAGAATTTGTGAGGAACTTGGAAGGTGTGCAACAGTATATCTAAAATTAATAGAAGGAGAAGACTTCAAAACGATTCCATTTAACAAGAAATATTCAATCAATACATTCATTTTAAAAACATCAACAATCAAGAAAGCCTGAACAGGACCAGCCAATAAGTACACAATTTAAATCCATCCTTCAGCAACACAAACTTATTGGTCCCACACCCTAACAAATCAATTAGACATCTCAACAAACTTAACGCCAATTGTGTGTCCCCAAAAAAAGCAACCACATACTCGAAAGAAGTGCCTGATGCATCAACTGGAACGGTGATACGAAAGATAATCATGTGTTCATAATTACGGTCAAAATCTCCTAACACAACAAAAAAAAAAAAAAAGGAAAGGGAAAAGAAAAGAAATTTTACCTTACTCTCTAGCTAACAAGACATATCTCAACTTTGCCAAAGAAATATTACTGAGAAAGACCCATCAACTTTTAATATAATGAAGTGTGATGCACCTTGCCTACTCTCAATTTTTGGCGCAAAGTTTCATTTAGTTCCATAAGCTAATATTTATTCTACTAGGGCATTATTGCTTTAAGTTCAAACAATGTACACACCTCTTTCCAATAAAGGAGGAACAACAAGTTTAAAGTGAACAACTTTACAACAGTGGATTAAATCAGAAAAAAATTCTAGTATTATTACTGAGTATGCATCTATGAAAGTAAAGAAACTACATAGAAAAAGTAACCAGAGTCTGAAAACTGCAATGCATCCTGTACTGAAAATCCTTCTCTATTGCAATGGATGCATTGCAAAACATTTAGTTTATGTCCACACAGGGTTCATTTTCCTCTCAAATTATTTGGCTCGGTAAAATTGGTAATTGTAGACTCTCATAGGCACTACTTATTAGTGAATGCTCTGAAGTGAATGCAGTACTATAAGATTCACAACACAAATGGAACCAGACAGATGCACCCAGCTTCAGGAGGCCTCTGCACCTGAAGTTTCAACAGGCACAGAAAACAACCTTTGAACAATCACAGAATTTGTAAATGCATTGAACATTGTCAGGGCAATTTAATCTCCATAAATCAATCCATAACAATATTAGCACATTTCATCATACATGCTACTTTTCCCCTTATAATACACGGAACATTAAATACATAAACTGGCTGTGTACATGATATTTTCTGTAAGACGCTTTTGTCACAAAAAAATTACATGATAGGAGGGCAAAAATGTATGCCTTTGTGCATGGAGGGAAGTCCATTGATGTAGCTCCTCAAAAATATACTTAAGTTTCTTTATCCCTACAAAGAAAATATTGAATGCCTGAGCATAAATTTGTGCCACCATAGAATACATTAAGGAAAAACATTTTAAATGATGAGAGGAAAGTTAAAATGAAGAACATTTCACGCATCAATTCACCAAAGTGGAGTTTCAATGAAAAGTCTTAAAATGCAAGAAACCTTTTCAGACGCACTATTTGAATGTTGTTGATCTCTTTAACATTAGGGGCAGATTAAAGGAGCTTCTGCATGGAGACAGACACGTACTAAGGTGCCATAAAAGAACTAGTAGCCTTTGAGACCACTGTAAGATACTACCAAAGAAATGGCAAAGAGAAGCTCCAAAGATACATTTTCCGGTTTGCAATTCTCTTTTAATCAAATCCACAGGTGCTGAGCTGTTCAGTAGCTGAGGTGATGTTATGTATATGTACACAGCATATATTAGATGTGCTTTGTTCAGAATCAACACCACGCACATTCACAGTTTTTCACAGAAATACATAGTAAAATATTTAAAAATTTATACAGCACAACTTAGAGTTAAAGTTCGAACCGTATTAATTAAGTCAGTGTGACACTGACTTCGACACAAAATTAAAGCCAGACCAAGTACAGAGATTTCAAACAGCAACTGCTTTTTCTCCTCTGCTGTCACTTGAGCTGACTTTGGCCATTAGCTACATTTCTGTTGCGCCTTTACTACTACCAATAGTGCCAATAGTACCCCCAATGGTACCGATATTTGCGCCAGGAATGGGTTCCTTTGGGTGCAGTGAATTATACAGAGGAAATTCACAGCAAATTATGAACTTCAAAAATCGTGGCACCTCAACATAAATAGCTGGTGGCATTGGAATCAATGGTGATGTTGATTTCTTGTAGTAGCGATAATCAGGGTTGCTGTCAGGAGTAAATCAAAATCAAAACATGAAGAAAAATTGATAAGAAAGAGTGGTTTGGTCTCGCATAAAATATGGAAACTTACTCTCTGAACTTTTCATCTGAGGAGCGCTCCAGAAGTGGAATACCCGACAAGAACAACAGAATGAGTGAAGTGAAAATTGGAGAAGCAACTGCCACCCATTCGGGTCCTCTGATAACATTTATAGAAATAATGAAAATGCCCCACCAAAGGACAATTTCACCAAAGTAATTGGGATGACGCGACCATGCCCATAGACCTGGAAAAAATTCAGTTCAATTTATATGGTGCAAAAAGATACAGTACTAAGGTTCTTTTAAAAAAAATGAGAGCTGTGTTTACCATCATTGCACCATTTTCCTTTGTTAGCTGGATCTTGACGGAACTGGAACTTTTGCAAGTCTGAAAATGTCTCTGTTAAGAGACCAATGATGAACAGGCCAGTTCCAGCCGAATCTAGATGTGTCATGGTCTTTGGAACTTTTGGAATAGCATTGTGAGGAGCATTGATGAATATCACCGGAAGGCTCACAACAAACACCCAAATTGCCTGAAATTTGCAAACATAAGATGACAAATCACACCACAATATTAAAGCTAGTTCAAGTTACAAAAATTAAAATGAATAGTATTACCTGGAAGGTCCAAAACACGGCAAATCTGATGATGTTACTGCGCCTATCATCAAATCTCTTGTCTCGTCCTATGACAATGATACGATAAAGAAGATAGCCAGAAAGTCGAGCTCCCCATAGACATATGTAAAATGTTACCATGACTTGACGACTGTCATACGTCTGGAAAATCAAAAATATAATTCCGTGAGTTGAAAATTACACAATAAAAAAGTGACAAAACAACAATGTACACCTTACCTGGCCGAGGCATAATGTCACTACAGCTAAAATGATAAAGTTGACTCCTCCGGCAAAATCCGTAACCTTGTCAAATTGGAATGTGGCAGCAATGGTGAAGAAAATCACTTGCATCACAACAGTGATGATAGCACAAATAGCCAAATGGCTATCATCCAAAATGTGTATAGCCATGGCTGCCCCAGTCAGCTGCAAAACAAAAACAAGAATGACCTTAATGTCAAGAGATAAATATTAATTCATTTTCACAGGCGTCTAGACACGGACTGTGGTCTACATTCACAGGAGCAGTAACAAGCAGGGCGTCGGGGCTTAGACTGCCTCCTAGAGAAGTGTCATGCGACGATCCGCAGATAAGGGGGCCCAGCCATAACGCAGGTTATGTAACGAACCAAAACCGCAGGCGCGCTCACGCTCACACAGGAGCGGGCGTATCTCGCTTCCACGGGTGAGCTCACCCGGACTCCAAATAACAGGAAAAGTAGCGATATACATCGGCAACTTTGGCCCGTCCCGTACATTAAGAAACGTACGAATTTCGCCTATTTTTGACCCTGACGGGAATTAAACCTGAGTCTGGGGTTAAAATAAATGTCGTTTTCGTCATCAGCACCCTCGAAAACATCAAAAACAATGCAAAAACTCGAATAAAAAGAATGTTCAAAAAATACTCCGCTGGGATTTGAACCCGGGTCCGAAGTTCTCCGATTCGCTCGAAACTGGCACCATTGGTTTTCTCTCGTCGCCCCGATTCCAAAAATACCCCTACATGCCCTCCTAGCTGCATCCGTTGCCGAGATCCTCCTCGACCCCATGTAGACCATGATGCACCTGCAGCAGCGCCCCCGGGGCTCGGATCGGATTTGCTGCCACCGGGCGGTTCTTAGGGTCACCCAAGGAGGCTGCATACCAAATTTGGTCAAGATCGGACCACGGGAAGTCCTCGGACGGACGGACGAACGAACGGACGCACAGCAGGGATCATACTATATGCCCGTCCCTCCGTCATTTTTTTACAAAAAATAAACGGGACGGGCCAAAAACACTCCAGGAAAGTCGGAGAAGTCACGCACACGGCAGGACAACGTGAAAATTGACCTACATAGCAAAGGGGTAGCTAGCAGACGACCGCAGCAGACGACATGAACCCCACGATTTCCTCGATTCTCCGCGAGCGACTCGGCTGCCTCCCTCGCTCCAGCCGCGCCAGTGGCCGTGTGAAGCTGGACTCTGGAGCGTGACGAGGGCAATATCGTGACACACAAGCCCAAACACGCACACCACAGGCAACGCGCAACGCGCAGCTACGCGGGGCTCGACGAGGGGTCGCGGCCTTGCCTGGCCTTGCGCTGCGCAGCCCTGCGGACTGAGGGCAGAGGGGGTGGTGGGGGCCGAGGGGGTGGTGAAGGTACCGCAGCGCCGCAGCCTACGCCGTGCCAGTCGCTGCCTGCAGCAGAGCGCCCCCTCTCCCCGTCCCGCACCTGCCCCGCCCCTTCCCTCGGTCTGCAGCATCACCGTGGCCTTATCGATCATCCCCGCACCCCCATCTCAGGACGCCCCTGTCTCCCTCCTCCCTCTGGATATCGGATGGAGCCCCCTTCTGGAGCCCCCATCATCCTTCCCTTCCAGCTTCGATCTCACACTGGCGGAGTGACCCCCTCTCTGAGAAATTATCAAAAGAGCAAAATCGATGGTCGGTCGTGAGCATGGGGCGGGAATGGCCCTTTCTTTTGGGGCAAACTAGCCAAGTCAATCCGACGAGGGAAGTCCGCTCAGTCTCCTGCCGCCAACGAAGACGCAAAGCACGTTGTGCTCTACAGACAGGGAGTAGCGTTAATGCGAAGCCTCTGAATGTATTCGACTTATCTTGTTTGCTTTATTACACGCACTTGATTGGACTTGAAGGGTCCGAGTGGCCTTACAAGTCTCATGATCACTCCGGCCCCGCTCGCTCCTGCAGCGCTGGGTGAAACTCCCTATCCGCCGGCCTCCACAACGTTCCAATTATTCTCAATTCGTTCGAACGCAAGAGCTCGCTTGCCACTCTTTCTTTGGTGCAATCCTGGACCATACTGCTCTTGAGTATAGGAAAACAGGCAAAACAACAGTGCGAAAGTCCTCCAAAACAATCCTCTGACGTCTGCCCATCAGCTGTTGCTGTTGTCAAAACGAAAGCGAAGGGAGGGACCCGCCAAATTATTCGCAGGATAGTGGTCTCTGTTCGCACTGCTCGCACTGCGACCGCCTGGCCCGCGATAAACCAAACACCGGGAGCAGGGTTGCTTTGGGAAAGTCATTTCCACAGTTTTTCTTGGCTTCCTCTCTATATGGAACCCTTCGGCTGTGTTATTTTATGGTTTCTATGACGTAAAACTGTGTGTCTCCATGCGTAATGTTAGCGCTGTCAGTTTCATTCATTCATCATTAGGTACGACTTTGACATTGTCTCCTTATCCTAGTAACACTTTCTACATTCTATAGAACCAAACAGAGGAAAAAGATGTCATATTCGTTCCGGTTGCCTAAAAGGATATTTGAAGTTCTCAGTTCTCGCTGTTATGTATCTGATCGTTTACAAGCAGTTGTCTCTTTCCCATGCATGGTGAATCAGCAGAAGTGCCCTTCTTCAATGGAGCACAAGCTGCTGGTGGAGCACCCAAAGGTTGTGACAGTGGGCTTTCCAGTGGCCAGCCTCAATCCTCACAGTTGAAATAGCTGCACGGTTTGTGCCCTTTGAACCATTGGTTCGAGTTTATGACTTCTGATTTGTCTTCAGCCTCAAGCAAGAGCATCCACCTTACAGGATCAGTTGCCCCTGTTGCCAGACTGCGTACAGCTTACACATGTATTCTTCGTAAAATAGCTGGTAAAACCAGATCCATCAGTTTAAAGTGCCACTGCTACTTAATGGCAGGATTAAATGAGGTATCATTCAAAAAATTGTTTTTAACGACATACAAGTGCTTACAGTTCAATTTATTTAATTTCTCTCTTCAAATGGTTTAATAATCAATCTCTGAGTCCATGGACATAAGTTTATTTTTCTGGAAGGATGCAAGCAGGTGCAAGGAAGACGGAGTGGAAAAAGCTGAGTGGAATAAGTCTGTGGTGTCAATGCAATGCATAGCACTGATATTCAACTCCATGGAAGATGACACACTTCAAACTCTCTTATTAAAAGTTAAACAAAATATTTTTTCAAAAATTGGACGGAACAGACATTAAAAAGTGAAAAGGAGAAAACTGAAATTCAATTTAAAGTGAGTGCTGGCCTGCAAACATGAAATGTTTCCTTAGGTTTCTTCCGTGGGCAATTTTCTCAATCCTCACTGACACTCATAAGGCTTCGCTAATGTCTATAGTGTGAACTTGAGCATGAGCTTCCAGTTCACATGACTGACCAAACCTCTTGTTGCAAACTGCGCATTCAAAAGGCTTTTCACCTGTATGGCTTTTGCCTATCTTTGTTCCATTCTTCACATCTTTCTCTTTCTCTTTGTGGGCTTTAATATGAGAATTCAGCTGACTCCTAAACCTGTACTTCTTACCACATTGTGTGCACTCAAAAGGCTTTACTCCTGTGTGGGAATTTGCAACATGAGTATCAAGAGCATGTTTTTGTGTAAACCTTGTATTACAAATTGTGCATTCAAATGGCTTTTCTCCTGTATGCACTCTAGCATGTTTCTTTAAACCAGATGGAAGACGGAACTTCTTTGAGCAAATGCGGCATTCATAACGCTTTTCACCTCTATGGAATTCAAGATGACCTTTTAGATTTTTCATAACTTTAAACTTCTTTCCACAAATGCTGCACTCATGAGGCTTCTCCTCTGAATGGATAGTAGACATATGGTTCCTAAGATTACTTCTGTGACTGAACTTCCTATTGCAAACTTTACACTCGTAAGGTTTCTCCCCTGAGTGGATTCTTAAGTGTGCTCGAAGTCTTTGAGCTTTCATCATCTTACTACAGACATGGCACAAAACTGATCTATCTCCTCTTACAGTCTTCTTCTTTTTCTGTTCTGGCTTGTTCTTGGCACTCCGAAGATCATCAGGGACGCCTGAAGGACCACAAACCAGGAGCAATGTAGTAATAATAACAAAACATTTTTTTTTACTCACAAGTCAAAAATGTATCACCATCACTTGGAGACTGATTAAAAGAGTTCTTAAGACTTGCAACATCATGAAAATTGTCCTTATTATCATTCTGGTCCGTTTTGTCCTGGATGTGGGGTGCTGATGGCAGACAATGACAAAAAATATAAAAACAAACAATTAACATATAGAGCAGTTGATCCAGACTAAAAATCTGTTGTATCAATCGATCTCCTAATGAAAGCTAGAAGTAAACAACAAAATAAATTTTCAACTCACTGGGCAAACTTAAATTATCACTCTGTGACAAATTTACAGATTTCCTTTCATAATGGAAGTCATCATCATCTTGTTTAGTATCAGCCAAAATGACGGGAGCTGCTGAGAAAATTTTTCAATCAAGGATTGACATTTCAAGCGATCAATTAATTAATGCTCCAAAACAAAAGCATCAATTATACCATCAACATGAAGGGGGATTTCATGAACGTCAGAGGAGACACCTTTATCACCTAAATCACCTTTATCACCTAAATAAGTAAAAATCATAGTCCAAGAAATTTTTTAAAAGGTAATTAAGAAATTTGAGATCTACAGACCAGAACAGTTCGTGATCCTGCTGTTTTTACGGCACATGACTAAACTCTCTCTTTTCAGAGTGTTATCCCCTTGCTTTTCCCCAGCTTGTGCCCTCAAAAGAGACCTTGACTGTTTAAACTTCTTATTGCAAACTTGGGGCTCATTGTCTTTACCCAGAACCTGGGGTCCTGTCAACATAGCAAATGAAGTTTGAGTTTATATTTGGCCACTAAAGCAATTTACCAATACTTAATATTAATCAGTTTATCAATGTCACCATCAAGGCAAAGATGGTTTCTTTGTTGGTGGGTGCCATCAGGAACACGTTTATCGCCTGAAAAGAAAATGATAGATCAAAAAAAGAGCCAAAAATGATAACAAAATGTAGAGTGAGCGCTACTCACCTAGAGGATTTGAGATAACTACAACTTCTACATTCTTCTCTAAACTAGATATAATGTCTTTTATTATCTTGCACTTATCAAGAAACAGCATAACATCACATTTTGAAACCAGATCTGCAGCCTGAGCACACAGGCTCAAAAAATGATCATATTTTTCCTTTTCTGACATTTTTTCTGCGCATTCATTCAAGGGAGGTGGTAGCAGTGTCGGGCTCTCCCCCGTCCCCCCGTCGCGCACCTCCTGGATACATAATTCGACAGCTGATAAGTCACAACAAGTGGCTAACGTCACTTCTAGACACAACAACTCACAGTAGAAGCTGGCCGAAGTTGCAGAGTAGGAATAGCACCAGGAAGTAGAACTTTCTGCCTTTTCCCAGGATGATTTTTCCAAAAGGCTTCGGGTGCAAAGTGCTGGCTACAAATCCTGACACTTGAAGGCGGGACCCAATTGGATCCCTTCCCTTTAAGCGCTTCCACCCAAGCTGGACGCCTCTCATCTTTAGGAATTCTAAAGAAAAGTAAGGATTGGTAAACAATAAATTTGATGCCAACAAATAAACAAGCCGGCAAAACCTTAAGTACAAAATTAAACACTGATACTTACGTGAAAAGCATCACCCCCTCAGGTCGCTTGGCATAGCTTACAGTGCAGCCTCGGACAGAACAGGCACTCATGATAAAATCGTGGAGCAATAATAGCAAAATATCAAATATTCTGAAGAATTGAAGCGCCCATTCAAAAGCGCGCGTTGAGCGTTAGCTTGAGTCCAGCAGAGTGCCCATTTGAGTAGACCACCACAGCTAAGGAAAACTAGGGTTCACGTCTGAAACAATTAGAACTAAACCATTGAAAGCCAAATGCATGAGGACGCCGAAACCAGAAAACAACATGACGGAAACTAACCTCAGATAACTTGCTTTTGCGCCTTGCTACGTGTAAACAACGACGCCAGCGAGACTCCCTGTCGCAGAGTGTCCGTCTGAACATCGGGGCGAGTGGGGCAGTCGTTTTTAAGAACAATCATGGACTTCGCTGCTCAACATTCCGTAAACAAAGTGAACTACAATACAATATTTCGGCGTTGGAGAGCCGTCAGCCGTCAGAGTCAGAACACTGCATTCACATTATTGGCAGTACGGTCCGGCCCACCGACGTGACGTGCTATTCGCACTGTAGACTGATTCCGAGAGTCGTTTTCGTAGTACATCTCTCTTGCACCTACACGGAAAGCCCCATGAGTGCAAGAGAGAACGTGTGACCGCCCATACAGAGTGGGGGGGAGGGCCGGGTACCGGGGAAGGACCAAGGCTCACTCTTCTACCTGTGCCTCATATATATCTTTGGTAATCAAAAATTACTACGTGCCCTCCATTTTCCAAAAAAAAAAACAAGAAGCCAAGGAACAACATTAATGGGATATTTAGAATATCAAAAGTATTTGATATTAAAGTGGAGGACTCGTTCTTTACAATAGATGTGGTTCAGTCGAAATCTATGTATGAGTTTGCGTTGAACGTTTGATTGAATGAGCTGACGTTTAGAGGGGAAGGCTGTAGTCTCGTCCAGGGTATTGAACAAAAGAAAGTATTGGAGATAACGACGAGAAATGTCAACCATGGAGAGTATGTCTCCATGGTAATAGATTTCGAGATGAACCACATCACCACATTTCGCTGCTGAGCACAATACTCGTTCTCTTTAGGTGATAGGTTTTTGTTTTGGTTTTTGTAAAGAACGAGTAAAAAGCTTTTTTTTTATCATGTACTGGGAGATACTGACGCATCGAAGAAATGGAGCCATTCGAAATGCGCGGGACAAAGCGGATGTCCCATCCCATCATGCTTTGCGTTGAGGCAGCGGCAGCAGCGGTGGGCGGCGGCTGCAGCAGTAGTAGCTTGTGTGTACAAACATGAGAAGTTCGGTTGTCAGTTTTCACTGAAATTGAAACTGAGTCATTTTCCGTCTTTTCTCGATAAAATGGGCTCTCAGTCAAGAAACCCGAACTACCCGAAAGATGCCCAGGTCATCATGTCCATGTTGAAGGACATGGGCGTCCAAGATTATGAACAGCGCGTCTTAAATCAGCTTCTAGAATTTACTTACCGTATGTACATTTTGAGGTTATTTACTCACTGTTTAGTAGTTCTTTTAGAATAGTCTGGCTCCACCCGTTTTGGGGTTGATTATACGCATTTACCTCTCACCTATTGTTAAGTCCTCAAGTCGTCAAATTAATGCCTCCATTTTGGTGACGGCATTTCTGTAGCTCAAAGGGGTCTCATCTGCTCAAAAATTCATCACACTGCAAACTGTTACAATTAAGTTTATCTTTTTACAGGCTATGTAACGTGTATTCTAGACGATTCGAGGATATATGCGACCCACGCCAAGAAAAAACAAATTGATTTGGACGATGTGAAACTCGCCGTGAATATGCAGTTAGATCGATCATTCACAACACCCCCTCCTCGGGAAGTACGTACCTCAAGAATGTTTTTTTTCTCTAATCTATTCATATTTTTACAGTCCCTTTTAATTTATCTTCTTTTCAGATATTACTCGAGGTTGCCCGTTTGAAAAACAGTCAACCCCTGCCAGTAGTCAAGCCCAGCTGTGGCATTAGATTACCCCCTGATCGTTACTGCTTGTCGTCTGTGAACTATAAGCTGCGTAATGTCAAAAAGGTATTGTTGACCACATTAACTTGCTGCCCTCGTTTTATTATCGCCAATGTAACTAACAAATTGTTGTTCTTGTAGACTCAGGTCTCTGTGCCACCAGGCTCCATTGGGCGTCTGGGTACTGCCACAAGTTTCATTCAGGGTGGTCTGGGAGGAGCCAACACCTTGAAGCTACAGGCCAACAAGGGGCCAGGTGCCACCCTGGCTGGAGTCAAACGTGGAAACCTATTGACAACTGTTGCTCGCACTCAGTCTATCACCACTCCAAAGCCAGTCATAAAGTTTTCTCAGGGTAAGCTGTCAATTGCTGTTGTGATTCATTATCATTGCTTTTGCCTTATATTTGTATTGGTGATAACTGATGATATAAATTCCAACCTCACAGGGGCTATCACACCAAAGCCTAAACCTAAGATCCACATTGCCCAGTCTACAGGAGTAACAACAGTCCAGTTTCCAAAAGCAGAGCCAGGGGAAATTGTGGGATCAGTCACAAGTATTATGACTACAGGGATCAAGAGGCAGAGAGAAGATGACGACATTGTATCTTAAAATCATTTAATCAGAATATTGTAAATAAAAGAAGGCTTTATTAGAAAAATTTGTAAAAGCATGGGCTTCCTTTGTTTCAACAATGGAAATGAAGGTATTTTGTCTTCTCAGAGGGGAACTAATTAGTTCATAGATACAGAACTCTGAATAATTTCAACATCATCAACTGGTCTGTCTGTTTTATCCGTCTCGACCAATCCAATTCTCTTGACCACATTCATACCTGAATAAATCCTACCTGTAAAAAAAAATTACGATTTTAAAAATAGTTGGGTTGATGATGTGCAGAATACATTTTGTAACTAGGTAAAAATCTTACCAAATATAGCATGTTTCCCATCCAACCACTGAGTGGGGGCTAGGGTGATGAAAAATTGAGAACCGTTGGTGTTGGGTCCTGAATTGGCCATTGAAAGTACACCAGCTCCTGCACAAAGATCACAAGGGGATGATGAAACGGAAGAGTGCAATGAGCTGTGTGTGGTATGGCAACACAAAACTGATGAGGACATTACCTGTGTGTTTGAGCTCCTCATGTATTTCATCATCGAATTCTCTGCCGTAAATAGATTGCCCTCCTTTGCCAGTTCCAGTGGGGTCACCGCCTTAATTAGAAAGAACATGATTGTAATAGGTGAAAGCAAAACCAAAACTTGTCAGGTCATGAGGCTAATATTGATCAGACAGACTCACCCTGAATCATAAAATCTCTGATAATTCTGTGGAATTTAGTTCCATTGTAATAGCCTCTACGGCACAATTCAGCAAAATTTCGGCATGTGTTCGGAGCGTGCTTCCAATATAGTTCGATGACAACTTCTCCCATTCTGTAATGATTGCGTGGAAATAATACTTGATCAGGATCTTTGTACATAAGGGGAAAGATGCAAGTATTTGACAAATTTCAATACAAAGCACCATGAAACACAACAGAAGAAAATAAGACAGATGCAAGTACAAACTTCAACAAAAAAAGGTTATACATCCACAAACTTACGTAGTCTCAAGCACTGCAAATTTCGGTTGCCACAGTTTATCGGGGATACCTGACGCTGCCATTGTTTGCGAAAAGGATAAAAACCTCACAATTCACAAATTGTTGTCAGAAACGATTAAAAATTGAACCGGCTTAACTTTTGATTGTTGTTGTTGTTGATTTTGCAGCGATTCCTCATACCAATGGAGCATCATGATAGTAAGTGGCGCCGCCTGGTGGACAGAACTACAACTACGGACAGCAAAAAGACGGAACGGAACGGAACAACTGAACGAGGAGGAGGAGGGAACGGGAACGCGAAACCGAGAAGACGGCGTTTGGTGACTTGTAAATTTCGTTGACACAACTTTGAAGTAGAAACTTAGTCCACTATGGTAAGTTCTAGAACTCCTGAATCAATTTAGGACTCTTCCTCTCAACGAGCCTGATAAGATTAACCCTGTAACGTTGCCTTATCCGCTGTTTTTGTCTTCGTTTGAATTATTTGGTCTGGGGTTGTTTGCGCCTGTCATTCAGCTGTGCCGATTGAAACTTATTATGTTCATATGTGGACATGCCGCAGATCGTTGTAATGTCTCATACTTTGTTTTTGATTTTTACTCTCGTGGTTTTCCCACTTCTCGCAAACACGCATCTGAACGTCAACACTGTGTTGTGAACCATAACCCTTCTTTCTATGTGACAAGTAGCAGTTTCTTACCCAGTTCCTTACTTTCAAGCTAGAAGTCTCACATGCTTTTATTTTTATCATGCTCAAGCCTCTGAACGCTCTTAAATTTATTCCTCAAACATTTTATCTGAATGGAGCTGTTTGTGACTTTTGCCTTTGTTCATTGTGTTCTATTGTTTCAGGGACAAAACCACCCTGGAGCGGGTGGCTCAGGAGGAGAGAAGAAAGATGATAAGGAGAAGAAGAAGAAGTATGAGCCTCCAATTCCAACCCGTGTGGGTAAAAAGAAGAGGAGGACAAAGGGACCTGATGCCGCAATGAAATTACCTCTCGGTAAACAATAATCAGCTCGTGTGGAGCCTCATAATCCCATTGTGAAAAATTGATTTCTTATAAAAGTTTACTCATGTTAAAAATTTTGATTTCAGTTACACCTCATACAAGATGTCGACTGAAACTATTAAAACTTGAGAGGATAAAGGATTATTTGCTAATGGAAGAGGAATTCATTCGCAATCAGGAAAGGCTTAAGCCGCAAGAGGAGAAGAACGAGGTTAACCATCATTTTATGTATATCTGCATTTTCTTGTCAGTTGAAGTACAGATTTTAATATTGATGCTCACTTTGTATTGCAGGAGGAGAGGTCTAAGGTGGATGATCTCAGGGGAACACCAATGTCTGTAGGAACTCTGGAAGAGATTATTGATGATAATCATGCTATTGTTTCCACGTCAGTTGGTAGTGAACACTATGTCAGCATCCTTTCCTTTGTTGATAAGGATCAACTAGAGCCTGGATGCTCTGTTCTTCTGAACCACAAGGTATATGGCTTTGTGTTCTATTTTAATTTTGTTGCTTCTATAACAGATTTAATGTGTCATTTGATGCCTTACTTTATTTGTCTGTTTGCCATGTTAAGGTTCATGCTGTGGTTGGAGTCTTGTCGGATGACACAGATCCTATGGTTACTGTGATGAAGCTTGAGAAGGCACCTCAAGAAACTTATGCTGATATTGGTGGTCTGGATACTCAGATCCAGGAAATCAAAGAATCTGTTGAACTTCCTCTTACACATCCGGAATACTATGAAGAGATGGGCATCAAGCCTCCCAAAGGTGTCATCTTGTATGGCCCACCAGGTACTGGCAAGACACTTCTAGCTAAAGCAGTGGCAAATCAAACATCTGCCACTTTCCTTCGAGTTGTTGGCTCTGAACTTATTCAGAAATACTTGGTATGTTGTCTTATCTTTTTAACAGTTGAACCTCTTGGGTTGTTAGTTTCTTCCTATCATTCTGTTGACTATCTGTTTAGGGAGACGGTCCTAAATTAGTTCGTGAGTTATTCCGAGTGGCAGAAGATCATGCACCATCCATCGTGTTCATTGATGAAATTGATGCAGTTGGTACCAAGCGATATGATTCCAACTCCGGTGGTGAGCGTGAAATCCAACGTACTATGCTCGAGCTTCTGAACCAGCTGGATGGTTTTGATTCACGAGGTGATGTGAAGGTAAGTAAATGTGAAGAGCTAGAGTAGTCTAACTTGAAGGTGGTGGAGCTAATTTGTGCACAGTTCATTACAATTCCTCCCTTCTACTTTTTCCTTCAGGTTGTCATGGCCACCAACAGGATTGAGACCTTGGATCCTGCTCTAATTCGACCTGGGCGTATTGATCGTAAGATAGAATTCCCCCTTCCTGATGAGAAGACAAAGCGGCGTATTTTCAGCATTCACACATCAAGAATGACCTTATCCGAGGATGTAAATCTGACTGAACTTATCATGGCCAAAGACGACCTTTCAGGAGCAGACATCAAGGTATGTTAAATTGTTGCTCTGCGTGAAGAGATTACTTTTCAAGGAGATGTAAAAATGGTGTTTGATTGATGTTCTTTTGTGTTCCAGGCCATCTGCACTGAAGCTGGACTCATGGCTCTGCGTGAAAGGAGGATGAAAGTAACCCATGAAGATTTCTTGAAATCGAAAGAGAGTGTGTTGTATCGCAAAAAAGAGGGCACACCTGAAGGGCTGTATTTGTAAACTGTTTATCCAAATTAATATTTATGTAATAGACAGTTTTTGTTTATGAGTGAGTGAAATTATACCTAACATTTCTATGTAATACTTCTTCATTCATTTACCTTCACTTCAGTTACAACCAATGGGAGAAAGAAATTACTTAGTTCTCAACTTAATAAAAGACTGAATGGTTCATTTATTATAGTGATCACAGCAGTAACTTTAAATACCAATATAAAATGTATCAAAATAGTTTGTTTTGAGAATTCTGAGAAATGCAAGAAGTATAGTTCCTCTAATCTTCCAAGAGACTTCTCAGCCCTGCCTTTTCAAATATGGGATTACATTTGGATTTCTGTTCTTCTACAAATTTATCAGTAAATTCTTTCTGGTTTTTTGAGAGAGTGGCGGTGTCCTTAGGAGTCTTGCAGCTGCATGATGAGTTTCCTGAACAAATTGAACACAGACCATGTCTGGTGTCTGCAATCCTGCAGGTTTCTAGTTCCAGCGAATCGAGGGACAAGGAATCCGCCTTCACCTTGAGTGTTCTGAGGAAGAGCAAAAAATTACTAGTACAAATAATACAAAGGATAGACGAACGACTTAAACTACTTACTCAATGATTCCGTTGAATTTCCCAAGGGTGAATGCAGTCTGGAAACCTTGAGCGTAGCCACTATCAAATCCTGACTGGAAGGCGGCTTCATGGCCCTTCTCTGCTCCCTCTCGGAATCCTTGCTGTGAGGGAAAGATCCATTTACAACGTGAAAACAATGACGACTAGTTCATTTGTCAAATTTAAACCTCATGTGGCTGTATAGGTTAGAGACATCAACAGCAGTTGCCCGAGCCTCATGCGCTTACGGTTGAAAGATCTTTTCGAACTTTGTCGAAGTCACGTTCGGCGATTTCTTTTTCACCCTCAGAATCCGATTCCATCTCAAAAATTTAAAGAACGAACGTCAACAACTTGAAACACCAATGTTTTCCACAAAGCTTCAGCTTGTCATCGAGGGAAGTACAACTTGAGTCACTTAAACCCAAGCTTAACAGTCAAATAAATGTATAGTTGGGAATGTACTTCCGTCTGAAAACGGTGCACTATAAAATTGAGGTACAAGAGAAATGATTAAAGCACGCTAGGGCTCGAGAAAAATTGCATTAGACGGAGGGATATCAAGAGATAAGTTGGTGAAATTGTCGAAAAGCGGTGCTCGCTTGTTTCTTGTTCTTCACCGCAAGCCCCCCTCCCCCCTCCACCCCCTTCGCAGCCAAAACTCTGCGGTACGTCGTCTGCTACTGGTTTTGTTTGTTTTGAGTACAGCTTGTCGGCCAATGAGATCCTTTGTTATGGACCCCCACGACGCATGAAGAGCCAATAGACGAGCATCTTCTATCGCGGATCGGCTATCATTTCAAATCAAATATGGCAGCCGTGTCGGTCGTCGTATTGTGATCCGTACGAGAAAATGTTGTAGATTTCGTTCGTGTTCCGCGAAATTCGCCCGTTGGAAGAATTAGGTCCGTCGGCTATCGGTCGCTCATCTTGCTGGGAAATTATCCTGTAATCATCGTACGTAAACATTCGCATTATTTAATTTTTTTTGCGAGGTGCATTTGTCAAACTAGTCTTTCAATGTTTTTATTATTACCCACAAATAGTTCATGGAAACGGTTAGACTCAATGAGAGTGACTTGATTGGGTCTGGAAAAATTGCAACACACACCTTGTATAACCTTAAAATTTATCATCTTGTGCAAATGTTTTTATGCTACTTCAGATGTAATAATATATCAACCATAACCTAACAGTTATATTGTTAAATGTTTCTGAGGCATTAATGGTTTGTCTGTATCCTTCCATTATGAGTAGTATGTCTCGTCAATTTTCTGTGTCACCTCTGGTATACTTTTGACTTATTGACAAGGTTTATTCCGTCTGTGTTATGTCATACTTCAGTAGTTGTACTTATTGTATAATGTATTTTGTATTTAATTTATAATGTGTCCTTAGACTTGTTCAAGCCCATTGTAAATTAATTTTACTTTGCTTTTGTGGCTCTCCTAGAAAATTATGATAGTATTTGTTAACAGTTGTATATACACAGATGTCATGTTATCTCAAGCCACAAGATTTGACTTCAGGTTTTATCATTTTTGTAGATACAGGTAATCTTTAGGGTTGTGCTTAAAATGATGAATGTATTTTCCATGGTGATCTGTTCCAATCCATGAAGGTTAGGTGCTAGGCTAGTTGATTTGTTCCTGTGTTTCCTCAAGTTTCATTCACCAACCTCATCTCTTCTCATCATGTACCTGAGGCCTGCTGCATGGATCAACACATATTCAAGGTGAGTGACATGTTGCTGGCCTCTTCCGAGCATTGTCTGTTGTAAATGTGGTAATACGTTCACTGACATGAATCGCAAGCTCTGGCACATCAGCCAGGTCTAATTTTGACAATATTATTCAATGTGGTTTGATTGAGGTGTTGACCCTTCCAGCCACAGGGGCGTGCACAGCTCGCCTCCTCGGGAGGGGCGGTGGAACCTTCTTTTCAGGGACTTTGCCTAACTTCCAGGAGTTAGACGGCAAAACCTGCCTCAAAAGTATACCTTTAGGGGTCCTTCGGGGGGGGCGATCGCCCCCTCCGCCCCCCCCTTGTGCACGCCCGTGTCCAGCCACAATGGAGGTTTGGTAGTGTCAACCAGTTCAGTGATAGGTTGGAGATTGCCTGTTGGCGTAAAGAGGGTTGGTGTTTATCGGTACTCGCCTCATTTCTTCCAGAGTCGAGACAGACTTTACACGGGTTGCGGCTTAACTTGCACGGTGACTTCTGAGTTTTAAAATCAAGACCAGAGAGGAAATTTACGCGTGTTTCTGCCTTTCTGTCTAGTCTGTATTTGAAACATCTTTAATTTCATTTTGAGTGAGGTTTCGAGCAAACCACCAAGGTCGTCGATTCCTTTGCACGAGGGGCGTTTCGAACGGACCGCGGGCAAGCCAACTTGTGTGGGCTGTATAGCCATTCAGAAGAGAAGTTTCATCGCTCTGTCTCTGTCGCACTTGAAGGGTACTCCATAAGGGTGCGAGAGAGACAGAGCGACAAAGCGCTCTTCTTGAGCCACGCACCAGGCCGGGTCGGTCGGGGCGGTGGGCGAAGGCGGTCGGGCCGGGCCCCTGCCGGATAGGCAACATCGGGCGTTGCGCGCATGGGAGTGTCGACATTGCCTACCCACAAGGCGTTCCGCTCCAGCCAGCGCTCCAGCCAGCGGGCCGCGCTCGGGCCCAGCGGACCGCCCCGCAGGCCGAATACAGTGCTCTCGTCGCTCTGTCTCTCTCGCACCCTGAGCTACGACGCATGCGTGCGAGAGAGACAGAGCGAGCGCTGTGCGCTCCGCCCCTTAGGCGGGCCACGCAGGCCGGATAGTGCTTTCGTCGCTCTGTCTCTCTCGCACCCTGAGCTACGACGCATGCGTGCGAGAGAGACAGAGCGAGCGCTGTGCGCTCCGCCCCTTAGGCGGGCCACGCAGGCCGGATAGTGCTTTCGTCGCTCTGTCTCTCTCGCACCCTGAGCTACGACGCATGGGTGCGAGAGAGACAGAGCGACGAGAGCGTTGGGCGTTCCGCTCCTTAGGCGGGCCACGTGGCGGCGCGTCGCAAAGCATCGCAAAGCGTCGCAAAACGAGTGGGAGTGGCTGGTGGGCTGGCGGGGCTGCCGTTCATCGTCCGCACCTTCATCACGGCCTGGCGGGCCTGGCGGCGGGTCTGGGCCCAGCAGACTGATTCCGAGAGTCGTCTTCGTCGCTCTGTCTCTCTCGCACTCATGGGGCGTCCCGCATCGGTGCGAGGGAGACAGAGCGACGAAAACGGCCTGCGGAATCAGTCTGCTGGGCCGGGCTGCCGAGTGAGTCCGAAGAACCGTTTCGTTGCTCTGTCTCTCTCGCAGCCTTACGGGGCGCCCCGTTGGCGCGACAGAGACGGAACGACCCGTCGCGACCGCTCGCCCTGCCCGCCCCGCTTGCCAGCGCTATTGGCTCTCCTCCAGACTTCTCGTGCTCGGGCGGCTCGGGCTTATTGTCGCTAGCTCGCGGTGGCGGCCTGCCGGGCCCTGCCGCCCGAAAGGGGCGTTTTCGTCGCTCTGTCTCTCTCGCACTTTTGAGGGGCGCTGCATGAGTGCGGGAGAGACAGAGCGGCAAAAATGACTCTTGGAATGAGCCTGCTGGCTGGCTGGCCGGCCGGGGCTTCGGCCTGCCTGCCTGGCTGCCTGGCTGCCTGCCTGCCTGCCTGCCTGGCTGCCTGCCTGGCTGCCTGCCTGCCTGCCTGCCTGCCTGCCTGCCTGCCTGCCTGCCTGCCTGCCTGCCTGCCTGCCTGCCTGCCTGCCTGCCTGCCTGCCTGCCTGCCTGCCTGCCTGGCGTGGCGTGGCGCGGCTCGGTCTGGCGTGTCCGGGCGCGATGACACTGGGGGGCGGCGGGGCGGGGCGGGGCGAGGCGAGGCGGCGCAAGACTGGACAGGGCTGCTAATTAATGCCGAGCGGTGTTCCGTCCTTAGCGCACCTTCTCTCCCCGTTCCCCTCTCACCTTCTCACCCTTTCCCATTCTCACCCCCTTCCACCCCTTCCCCTTTGCCTCCCCCCCTTTTCCCCCGCTGCTCCACTTCCAGTGTGGCAGCGCTTGGCAGCCCCTGGCTGCGTCCATCCCGTCACGCACCTGCACCATTATGGGCGCCGCCGCGCCGCCGAGTCGCGCCGAGCCGCGGAGCCGCGACGAGAGAGGAAAACCGAATGCAAGGGATCGATTCGGGTCGGGATTGTCGTGGGCGATGATCGAGGCGATAAGTCGAATGGGCTCCAGAATGAATGAATGGATGAATTCAGGATAGTTCGCAGCATGGTTCCAGGATGATTCTGGGATGGTTCCAGGACGATTCAAGGATGGTTCCAGGATAATTCTAGTATGGTTCCAGGATGATTCTTGGATGGTTCCAGGGTGGTTCTGGGATGGAGGATGATTCTGGGATGGTTCCAGGGATGGTTCAATGATGGTTCCAGCATGACTTTTCAGGGATAAATCCTGGGTATATCCAGGATGAACCCAGGATGAACCCAGGATGAACCCACGATGATTTGGGATGATATCAGAATGATGTAGAATGATTTCAGAGTGATTTCTGACTGGTTCTAGGACGATGACCTGTTGTTGAACTCTAGGATCTCCGGGATGACTTCTATGATGGCGCCAAGACGGTTCCAGGATTTCTCCTGGCTGACTCCGGGACGGCGACCTCTCCGTGTCATTCCCGTTTATTCTTATGGGAATGAGGGGCAGGCCGGGACTCCACCCTGGCACTGCCACGGCACTGCCACGGCACTGCCACGGCACGGATTTTGCTCCGCTTGCTCGGCCCTGAGTCTGCTGCCGGCCCTCGCCCTGCAGACTGATTCCGAGAGCCGTTTTCGTCGCTCTGCCTCTCTCGCACTCGTGTAGCGCCCCGTGTAGGTGCGAGAGGGACAGAGCGACGAAAACGGCTCTCGGAATCAGGCTGCTGCTGTACGTGCCACCGGCCGCCTCTTTCTCTCTGTTTCCTCCTGCTTCCACCAGTGCCCTGATTCCGAACAGTCGCTCTGTCCCTCTCGCACCCCGACGTCGGAGACCAAATGAGAGAGAGAGAGAGGGAGAGAGAGAGAGAGAGAGAGAGAGAGAGAGAGAGAGAGAGAGAGAGAGAGAGAGAGAGAGAGCGCTTTGTTCGGAATCAGACACGACAAGGCGCTCCCTCCACCTGGGGGGAAAACGGGGAGAGGGGGGGGGGTCGTCGTCGTGAGCATGGTGGGCTGTACGCATTAACCCACGTGTAAGCTCGTGTAGGAAGGGAGTGTCCTCGGGGAGTGCAACCGCATAAGAGCACCGTTCCAAGTTGCATAACTTTCAACAGCAAAAAAAAAAAAAAAAGAATCCGGTGATGACGTCTTAAAATGAGGTTACCACAGTCATATGGCTGCTTACAGATATTAGATGCAATGATTTTTGGATTGCACAGATTTTGCGATAATCATCCCACATTGCTAGTCTAAAATATCGCAAAAAAAAACGGCACAATGACGACAAAATTTTAAAATTTACAGAATTATCAAATTTTTTTTAAGATAGAGAAGACTGGAGAATAATGGTGGGATGTGAAAATTAATCACACCTTTTCTGCGATG